CTACTTAGTCTATTAGATTTAACTGTGGCCTTGTCATATTCGTTAAAACAAAAGTTCTGATACACATACAGTAGAAACTGGATTTTCTCAACTTTACCTTCTCTCTTCTGTTAGCCTCATCACTCGGAATGGTTGTCATCCATTTCTTTGACCTTAGCTTCAGTCTCTTCCTGTATAGGAATTTACCCCTCATTACTGCCCACTATTCTTACAGACATCAAAAGTGTTGCTTGTACTGTAACACAATGCAAGAATCTGTACACAAGTTACAAGGGTTCCATCGACTACTTACAAAAAGCACTTCTCCACACAAATGCAGTCCTCCTGCAAAAATTTTGAGTCCCCCACTTTCAAGTGTGAATACAATTGAGCTTTTATTGAATTTTGTAATAATTGATTTATTGCAAAAATATGGACTATTTTACCAGAACTATCCCCCAAAAATCCAGCCTACAGGAGATGGTTAAGAGAAGTTATCAGCAACAGGGAATTGTCAGGTTTGAATACAGCAAGTTTTCCACTATACTGATGATTGTAACAGTATTTTTTACTCTTGCATGATGATGATGATGTTGGAAAGTTTTAGCCAACACCTGTATGATATTCAGGGATAATCAGTTTATGCTTTACACTTTTAGAAGAGTTTCTAATTAATCTAAGCTGAAGAACATACCTTAATTCTTATGTGTTACAGAGATGTTCATATAGATGATTTTGCCATGTATAGCATTTAATCATCATTAACCTATTGATGAATAACTTGATGTGCGTGTATTAAATCTGGGTCAAAAGATTCCATGGGGTGTGTTCAGTTTGGTTGTTATTTATCTGAATGTATTTGGATCTTACAGCGCACTGTGTGACCATTATACATCAGAATCTATGATCTTCCCTTACTTGCTATGGCAATCTCATGACTAAGGATAGTTTTGGGTTTTTTCCCCTCTAACAACTGTTACGGGAATTTCTATTATGATCAAAAGGTGAAATACAGTTTCTTTCTTTATACAGTGAATTCCTTCACTTTCCATTATATCCTGATTATCCTTCTAACACTACAGAATGTATAAATTTCATCAGGAAGATCATCAGGAATACTTGGAATTAAGAAATATTTAAGAAATTTTGCACGATTATCCTCCTGTTTTCAAAAAAGTATTCATGGGAATAATTTGATCTTTTGCCAAATTTAGAAAGTAGTATTTTAGTACCATAATATAAATCTGTACTCAGTGGTATCATAAGCTTGAAAAATAATTTTTATTAACATACAAAAAAGAATAAGGAAAATAGACATTGTAATGAAGCATTTGCTTTCATCTACAAATAAGTACCGTGAGTAACAAAACAATAAAACAATTCTTTAAGTTCTTGTGAACAGTTAGAAACACAGGAAGCAATTTTCTGAAAGAGAAACAAAAGAGTCTTCTGAAATAGAAAATATTTGGTATTATCTTTTAGTCTCTCAATAAAATATCCGTGTAAACAAGTAATCCGTATTTACAATATCGTATGCAATCTTCTTGGTTACATGTAGTAAGAAGTGTACATGTAATTACATTCAATTTTAAAATCTAATTTGTAATAATAATTTCTCAGTTTCATTAATGTTGGAAAAAACACTGTTCTTCTGTGTGCAGTACTGCATGACAGCATGTAAATACATTTAAAAAATAGCTTTTTTTTCAAGCATCTTAAAAAAATAGCACTTTTAATGTTAGGTTTTGTAACTTCCTATGTTGTTATAGGAATCCAAACTCGGAATGTAAGCTCTACAATCATGTCCCTGTACAGACAACAATGTAGAAGATTTCCAAACATGCAGAAAAATCCTGAAAAAAACCTAGGGTTCTACCTTCCATTTATATCTTTGAAAATACACCTTTTTATTTCCCGTTTTGCTACTATTACACATAAATACGGGTAAGAAAAGTTGCATGAAAGGAAGGTTAATGGAAGGCCACTTTGAGAAGCAGCTTTAGGAATATGTTTTTTTCCAGAGAAAGTTACTTTCCAAAGTCCTATGTATTTTTATTTAGCACTTGAACTAACCTCATATGCTGGAAGGATACTTAAAGACCTTTTTAATCACTTTAGAACAGAAGCCAAAAGTCTGTAGCATGTTGTCTGTTTTGAGTTACACACACACCAAGGTTGAGCAAGGTTAGGAGCTCACAGCTACCACATCTCACGGGGACCTTCCAAAGACCAAAACTGCCAGAAGCCCGCAGTTCATATACATGAGATATCACTGATTATGATAATTTGCCAGAGTGGAATCTTCCAGCTCCCACTGAGTTTCTACTATCACATTTAACCCCAAAGTTGAAAAATAAATATATACTGTGGGAGACTACCCTCAAAAGGTTGCTAATCCTTGATTTTCAATTAGTTTTATACCATCAGAATAGAGAAGTAAAGAAATGCCACCATTCTTTTTCAAGTATCATTACCCTTGAACAGTACATGCAATAAAATGGAAAACAGAAGGCATACTGGTTACTGTAGCTTAACTTTAACAGCATATAGAACCATTCACCTAGAAGCTGTTGATTTCAATACATCCAAGTTAGTGTTGTAACAAATGAAATAATGGATTGTTTGAGTTTTTTCCCCAATATACTGTACAGTTAGAGTTTCTTCCAGAACAATCCTTAGACAAGTGACTACCTTCCACACAAACGCCCTCTTTTATTAGATGACTTAGTAAAATGCAAGGATTGAATGAGCTCATTTTCACAGGTGGATGAGACAGAGTAACAGGCCAATACATACCAACTTAAAATGCTGTTGCTTGTGCGAGTGCAGTATAGAAAGCTAGCATAGTAAATTACTAGAACAGTTGAGTTCATTCCTTTACTTCATGGGTTATACTTAAAAAGTGTTAACAGAGCATCTCTCACAAAGACTAAACATGCATCCACCAGCTGTTAGATGCTTACTGATTTTAGCAAAAGCAGACTTGTTGAGATCAGAAGAAAAGACAGTATAGTGTTCTCCAGAAGCTACTGCAAATCCCTCTTCCTACTTAATGTTCAATATATAAATTTGTAATAGGATGCATAACATAGTCATGTCGTGTCAGTTGAGCACTAATGTCATGTAAACAAGTGCTCTTGTTTTTCTCTCAGAAAGCTGCTATTAGTACAATTTGGATTTTATGGTGAAGCTGCGCAGAACAATTTCAGGGAAGACAGATAATTGTTTGGAACTTGAAAAACAGTAAAAAAGCTGTCTGATCCATTGCACATAGTGGGACTGGAAGAGTGCTCACACAACAAGATAGTATTCCTTCTGTCATACCTGAATTCTACACTAAGGCATTTAAAAGCAGATATTTTCTCAAATGAAGCAATACACCAATGCTAGGTGGGTCCCAGTCATCCACAAACATATGTAAGTGAAAAATCTGGGATGTAGTCCTTGAGGACCAAATGGTACAGCAGAAAAGTTTTTCAAATAGTTTCTACGCTAGCTTTCTATACTGCATTCACCAAATAATTAAATGTTATTGCAAATCAAATAACAAGAACTGAGGTGCTTCTTGTCTTTGTGATCCAAAATAACTCATGACCAAAATTTTTTGTACTAATGCAACACTGAACTGCAAAAATTGCACATTTGCTAAAGTTTAATGTGTTTAAGCATTTCAAAAAGCCGAAGTGGATAAAAATTTATGTAGTCTTTAAAAAATAGGAAATTGTATGCTGCCTGAAACTGTCTATAATGCAACAGGAACAGTGGTAAATTTGGACTTGCAGGTTTTACAAGAGATTATAAAAGAAAGGCTCATCATTTTTAACATGTGCAATCAAAATAATCTAATATAATTATTCTTCTATAGTAGTAAAAAATAAGTATTGTTTATAGCTGTGAAAATAATGAATGAGCATAATACATTAATAGTCCAATTGCTGGAAAGAGCTATAAAAGTAAAGTGCCAGTAGAGACTCAAACTGCATTATTTAACACTTTAATTTCAAATTAAAAAGTCATAGAGTTTATATAGTTTCCTTATGGACTTAAGTATGTCTTCACGTCTGTGACAATAATGATTTTGACACCAGTGTGGAGAAACCAAAATTGGCTTTTGGTTAACGGGTAGCATTTTAGTCAAATCAGAAAAGCTCAGCTGTTTCTTGGAGGAAGTATTTCTCACTTCAAGCTCCTTTCTTCTGTGATATTGCTAGCAGTCTTCTCTTTTCTAACCTCCTAGTTTCTAGTCTAGTGCCATAAATCAACAGAACTGCGCAATCAGATAAAGATAGTAAAATGCTGCCTTCTGGGCTAAAAGGAAGACTTGGTTTAAGTGATACATATTTTTCTAAGTGTGTATCTATAGCTTTCCAAATAAGACAAATTCTGGATTTGGATGTTTTACAATCTCCTTAGATTTCAGTAATGATCACAGATAATCCAAAGCCAAATGTTTTCCATATACAATATATTTGGTAGAGTTGGTTAAAAGTCAACAGATTAAAAAAAAACCCCAAACATGTAAGTTTTTAAAGGAAACATAACATTTAATAAAGATTTCAGGCAAACTTTCATTTCTTTTTTTGAATTAAAAATTTTAGACTAAACGTTTTAATGGTGCAACTCTGCAAAGTGCTGATTGACCTCAAATCCCATAGATTTTAGCAGCTGGTGAGGGGGTTAATCAGTTTGAGAAATCAGAGCTTTAAAAAAAGTGAACATTACCATAAAAATTATGTGTGACCAACTAAATTCTGCTGTCTGGTATACTTCATGACTGATTTATAAACTACAAAATCACTCAGAGCAACATTTAGTCTCAATCTTGTTAACTTTCCATGACTATAAGAGATATAAGCATTAAATGAAGAAGTAATATGGAAAACATTTTCCAGTTATGTGAGTTTCCCATTATGTGATGACATTCATGCTCTCATTTTTTAAATGAGGACTGACCATGAATTAATATAATATGTTTGGGACTTACTAGAATTTAAATTCATATGCAGAAAACTTGAGTATCTTTGAGCAAGCCATACATAAAACCCCAACCTATTTATATATCAACACAACTAAATTGGAAGGAACCAGAGGGTATTGGCAGCATAATAGTACTGTTATTCTGTGTAGTTTCTTTACATAGTTGATCGTTGCCCTGCTTCATCGAGTTTGAGGTTTTGTTTTCTGGCTGCTTCACTATTGATCCTCAGATCAGATTTATCTGCATTACTGCCGTCTGTCATGGTGGATTCTGCTTCTGTGCCTTCAGGAGTCTCTCCAATGGGCCGCAAAACTTTAGCATTCTCTTCTGGGGGGCGCTTCCAATGGGACCGGCTTGCCATCCACAAAATAAGTGCACCAAATATGACAAGCAAAAGACCAAGACAGTTGACAAAAGTTGCCTCTGGTGGGAATGCACTATATGCAGGATTTTTCCTTTGGAAGGGGAAAAAAAAAAAGGTCAGTTGTTTTAAAGACAATACTGGTCTAAAACCAGCAGTGTCCTGCTAGTTAGGAAGTCTTTTTAAAACAAACCAAACCAAAACAATGTACCAATACTCAATGGTTATTATTCTGTGCAAGCGGAAGTACAGTTTGCAATGAATAACCTTAATAAACAAGTGGGAAAAAAATACTTACAGTGAAAAGATAAGCTTTTCTGTGATTCCCATGAGAGCTGTTGCAATCACTGTTGCAAAGATGGTAAGACCTGAGTAAACATGTATTGGCATGAGAGCTGCTCGGAGAGGAACTGGAGCAAAAGGGAGCAGAAAGACAGCGAAACCTAAGAAGAGCTAAACACAAAACAGATCCATGGTTAAAGCTACATGGGAAACAAGTGGCACTTCTCAAGCAGAATAAAAATAATCATAAAAATTCCATTTTGAGACGTCTTCAGGTACAAATCTGAAAAGAATTGGCATTTTTATTTCTGAACGTGTCTCCCTTCAAAACCAAAGCAGTAATTCTGGATTAGCACCTGGGAAGCAGACATGAGATATTTTATAAATGATCCCACCCAATATCAGTGTCCAAACTTACTGGTAATGCTAAAACTGCAACCAAACTAAGTATTGGAAACACAAGTTTTCAGTGTCACTAATTCAGTAATATATTAAAGGTGTGAGTAGCTATATTTTTCCAGTCTCTTCAAGTCCTGTTCTCTGCTTCTGTTATAGATTTTCACATAAATGAAGATCAGAAGGCAGTTTAGCCTTCTGGCTTGAGTGGACTAAATAATTCTACCTTGATGGAGTTTTAGTTAAGTTAAAGTACATGTCTTTAGAAGGGCAGTGGTCTTTCAATATATCAATCGGTTGGCATTTACAGAGTGAAGATGTGGGTGGGTGGTGTGAAATTATTCAGGGGACATGAGTCCTCCCATTGTCACTAATTTTGTGATGGAAGATAACCCATCATGTCACGTGGTTTCAGTCATATTGAGGCCCAATCATACTGAGGTTGCATCCCTTCTTTAGTTTGTTCTACTGTTACTCACCCCTGCTGCTAAATTAGAAACAGTGCATGAATTTGTATTTCATCTTGCTTTAACTTCCAGTCTTAGTCCTTGTTTTGTCTTTCCATGCTGGATTAAAGAGCCTGGTATTTTCTCCCTGGGAAGCTTTTTAATACACCATAATCAAGTCATCTCTTAATCTTCTTTAGATCTGCTGAACAGTTGGAGCTTTTTAAGTCTTTCAAGGAAGACAGTTTTTCCAGCTCTCAAATTTTCCAGATTTTCTTTTCTTTTTTTTCTTTTGATTTTTTTACATAGTATTTCATATTAGTTTCGCAAATGCCATATATGGACATTAAGATAATCTCTTATTAGAGAATTTACTTTTCCTTTGTCACAGCATTGAGAGAACTCCCTTTGAGCTTCATGTTGTCTTTGAGTACTTCTTTCCAGAGACATTGCTTTTGAAGAGAGTCTCCATTTTTCATTTCTGCCCTACTCTTAAATTTATGTCCTTGTGCTATACTGTATTAACATAGATTTGGCTTAAATACAATATATTTACACTATTGTTCCTGCAGGTATAGTATTATGTGAACATCTGCCCTCAATAATTTTTCAATTCTGAGATTGCCATGACATTTCTGGCAAATGCCAAGTGTCTTCTCTATTAACAGAGACACTAATTTATTACTGTTTTTTAACAATAGTGCTCAATCACTTAATGAACATCAGTCTCTGTGTGGAGACTTACATGCTAGTTTGGAGGAAGTAACACCACAGTTCTATTGATGAGACAGGCAAGGCATTAAATGTCATTGATCACGTTTCTAGCAGCAAAATGAAAAGTAGAATTAAGATCTTATTTGCAATTCTTTATCTTAACCATTAGAAAAAAATGCTGATGCTCAGTATAGTGGCAGCACAGATTTTCCTGAAATAACTGCATTATGAGGACAAGGAAAATCTTAACATTGTTCCTTCTTATTCATTAGCTGTTGTTCAACTATAAAGAATATACTCAACAATGTTGCAATATGTTTTATTTTTCCTAAGTGTTAAAACCACTATTTCAACACTATTTCTTGTACCTCCTAACCTGAGCAGTGAAGGATTAAAGTCCAGAACCCAAATCCCTCAGCTGGAGATTCTCTGTGCTTGAACACCAGATAATTAAGTCTTATTTTTTACTATTTAGTGTTTTGGCAAAATAACTAAGAATGACAATTTGAAGGAACAAAATTAATTTCCATAGTGTAATAATACAATATATGGAATTCAGAATGTATATGCAGAAAAATCACATCTGTATGTGTACACTAAATGTCAGGGCATGCCTGCTCTTCTATGCCAAATGCAAAACGTTATGCCAAACGCTAACTATGTTAGCTCATTTTAGATTATGATAACTCTAATTTTCTGCCAATAGGAGCAGTTAAAAGCATGCACACAAACATTGATCAAAGTTTTGCTGGTTCAGGAAAACCGGTTAGCCAGTAGTAGCTCATTCAGATGTCAGATCCTTTAGATCTGCACTGCTGCCTGCTGCATTTGTTCTGCTGATAAACAAAAGTCTTGAGGCCAAGAAGCGACTACTTAAAATTATGATAGCTGGAAAAAAAAGAAAAACAATTACTTCATTTGAGACTTCCTTAATAAAAGCTCTAATTATATTTAAATATGCTGCCAACAAACCAAATCACTTGCTTTAACTTCAGCAATTTATAGCACTTAGAAACACACTACTGTATTACTGAATAGTAAATAAACTGCCATTATCCCAGGAAATAAACAAAATATACTTCAAAATACATTTTCCTTTGAAGTCAAGGATCCAGTATTTGCACATTTACATGCTAATTTGCCAAATCACAGAATGTAAAATAGGTATCCCAGTAGTTAGAGTGTATTAGTGAGGGTCTATTGTGCCTGAATTACTCTACACGTTCTTCAAATTTACAACCTCTTTATAAATACTGTTAGATTCTGACCTGGAGAGAATAAAATATAACAGCAGTCAGCCCAATCCAGCTGTGCAGGCTGTACATGTTAGGAATGTTCTTGGCATTGTGGAATTCAAACACGGCTACCATAGAAACAATTGCAAGAATCATAGCTATGGTATTTAGTCCAGCATGTATGAACTTCATTAGGAGTTTGCTGCACTTCCAGGTCCAGGGCAACCGGTACACAATAATAGCTGAAGAAAGAACAGAAACAAGATGTTATGCCTTATAGGATAACTTCTCTCAGATTTTAATAATCATGCATAGTTCCATTGTAAATTACATGAAAATCCAATCTTTAATCCTCTGAAAAAGTCTTTTAAAAGGCTTTTTCTTCTACACATAGCATAGCATATTCCAAATATACAACTGAGGCTTAAATATAGCTTTTAGGGAGATTTCTTCCTAATTTTAAAACAACTTAACTGTGTTTCAAAAAAAGAAGAGTAAACAACTTGGTGTTGTCTTTTCCTCATTCCTTAAATTGATCTAACAGGGATTCTACATAGGATTTTGATTTTTTTGCTACTAGTCAGATTGGAAAAATAGGGCCCAATTCTTATATCCAGAAGACCACGTACTGAGAAAGTGTGTAAGATTATTTTCTAATATTTATTCTCTTCGCCAACTTTGGATAACGCTGTTCTCTAATTGCGTAGATACTTACATGACTATCTATTGCATTGATATATGCAGCATAAGGGAATCATAATCTGATTCTTAAGAGACAAAAGGATTTGGCGACTACAGCTCTTCCCACAGTTAGAAGAATGTAAGGGGGGAGGGGGGGTTGCCTTCATTTGCATTAATAACTCTAGCAGATAGTGTTTTGTCCAGTCTGAACAAAACAACGTTCTAGTGATCTAACTCCAAGTAGTCCATAAGAATAACTTAGGCTAGAGCTGCTGCTTGCCAAGCTCTTTCCTCAAGGGCCCCACTGCTCCTTCCCTGCCACAATTGTCCCCTGCCTGTCATATGACCCAAGTGCTTGCCACAGGGGACACACAGAGGCCAGATTAGATAACTGAAGCACCAGGTACATCTGATTACAACCTAGGTAGCAATTCTGGATGTGTGACAGCACACAGGTGTATTAAGATAACAGTGGACAAATATTTATAAGGACACTTGATCACTTGACCAATAAAGGCTAATGCCCACATCCATGATGTCTTGCCTGAACAAAAAGACTGAGCTCCATTGGCATGGTTAGTAAAGGGAATCTGAGGCCCAGGTTATTCTTCCTTCTCTCCTTCCAGTTGTGGGCAGTGGCATTGAAAGAAACAGATGCACTCAGTCTGTTAATACCTGGCTCCATGGCTGGTGTCACCACTGCAACTTGGGGTTTTTCGATAATGGGATGACCTACATGGCACCAGGCATGCTGGCGTTGGATGGGGTTCACCTTTCTCAAAGGGGGAATACAGTCTTTGCTCATGAGCTAGCAGGGCTCATTGACAGAGCTTTAAACTAGACTTGATGGGGGACAGGGGTATTATCAGGCTTGCTCGTGACAAGCCATGGGACGACACACTAAGGTTTGAGGGATGGGGTGCTAGAGAGGGCCCTCAGACTGTTGCTCCAAGATGTGCTGGCTGCACTGCAGCACACTCGAAGTCTTACGGAGATGAGCCAGGGGTTCCAGAGGCAATAGGAGTCAACAGGAAACACGTAGAATACCTCAAAGGAAGGCCACCTGGAGAGCAGCACGAAGGAGTTGCAGCCACTCCAGCCAATAAGTCAGCTTCAACAGGAACCCAACTCAAGTGCCTCTATGCAAACGCATGCAGCATGGGGAACAAAGAAGTGGAGTTAGACATGTGCACACACCTCCCGAGCTATGATCACATTGACATCACAGAGACGTGGTGGGATGGCTCCTATGACTGGAGTGTTGGAATGGAAGGATACAGGCGCTTTAGGAAGAACAGGCAGGGGAAACGAGGAGGGGTGTTGACCTCTTGTCAATGACCAGCTGGAGTGCATGGAGCTCCGCCTGGGGATGGATGAAAAGCCAACCAAGAGCTTATGGGCCAGGATTAAAGGGAACACACAAGCAGGTGATGTTACAGGGGAGGTCTGCTACAGGCCACCTGACCAGGATGACACAGTGGATGAGGCCCTCCACAGACAGACAGGAGTGGCATCGCATTCATAGGCCCTGGTCCTCATGGGGGACTTCAACCACCCCAGTATCTGTTGGAGGGACACCACAGGAGGGCACAAGCAATCCAGGAAGTTCCTGGAATGCGTCGATGACAACTTCCTTCTCCAAGTGGTAGAGAAGCCAACAAGGAGAGGAGCTATGCTGGAACTTGTCCTTACAAACAAGGAGAGGCTGATGGGGAATGTCAAGCATGAGGGCAGCCTTGGCTGCAGCGATCATGAAATGGTAGAGTTCAAGATCCATAGGGCAGCGAGGAAGGTGCGCAGCAAGCTCACTACCCTGTACTTCAGGAGAGCTGACTTTGGCCTCTTGAGGGATCTGCTTGGTAGGGTACCATGGGATAAAGCACTGGAGGGAAGAGGGGCACAAGGAAGCTGGTTAGTATTCAAGGTTCACCTCCTCCAAGCTCAGGAGTGATGTATCCCAACAAAGAACTCAGGCAAAAAAGCCAGGAAGCCTGCATGGATGAACAAGGAGCTCCTGGACACACTCAAAAGCAAAAAGGGTGGAAGCAAGGACAGGTAGCCTGGGAGGACCACAGAGAAACTATCCAAGCAGCCAGGGATCAGATTAGAAAAACTAAAGCCCAGATAGAATTAAGTCTGGCCAGGGACATCAAGAGCAACAAGAAAAACTTCTATAAGTATGTCAGTGATAAAAGAAAGACTAGGGAAAATGTGGGCCCTCTCTGGAAGTAAACAGGAGACTTGGTCACCCAGGACATGGAAAAGGCTGAGGTACTAAATGACTTTTTTGACTCAGTCTTCATTAGCAAGGGCTCTAACCACGCTGTCCAAGTTGCAGAAGGCAAAGGCAGGAGCTGTGACAATGAAGAACCGCCCACTGTAGGTGAAGATCAGGTATGAGAGCATTTGAGGAACCTGAAGGTACACAGGTCCATGGGACCTGATGAAATCCATCCACGGGTCTTGACGGAACTGGTGAATGAAGTTGCTACACCACTATGCATCGTATTTGAGAAGATGTGGCAGTCCAGTGAAGTTCCCACTGACTGGAAAAGGGGAGACATAACCCCCATTTTCAAAAAGGGGAAAAAGGAAGACCCTGAGAACTACAGGCCGGTCAGTCTCACCTCTGTTCGTGGCAAGATCATGGAGCAGATCCTCCTGGAAACTCTGCTAAGGCACATGGAAAATAAGGAGGTGATTGGTGACAGCTGACATGGCTTCAATAAGCGCAAGTTATGCCTGACAAATCTGGTGACCTTCTTTGATGGAGTTACAGCATTGGTGCATAAGGGGAGAGCAACAGATGTCATCTACCTGGACTTGTGCAAGGCGTTTGACGCTGTCCCACACAACATCCTTGTCTCTAAATCGCAGAGATCTGGGTTTGATGGATGGAACACTCGATGGATAAGGAACTGGCTGGATGGTCACACTGAAAGAGTTGCGGTCAATGGCTCAATGTCCAAGTGGAAACCAGTGATGAGTGGTGTTCCTCAGGGATTGGTACTGGGACTGGTACTATTTAACATCTTTGTTGGCGACATGCATGTTGGGATTGAGTGCACCCTCAGCCAGTTTGCTGACAACTCCAAGCTGTGTGGTGCAGTCGACATGCTGGAGGGAAGGGATGCCATCCAGAGGGACCTTGACAGGCTTGGAGGTGGGCCCATAGAACCTCATGAAGTTCAACTGGCCCAAGAGCAAGGTCCTGCATGTGCGTCAAGGCAATCCCAAGCACAAATACAGGTTTGGTGGAGAATGGGTTGAGAGCAGTCCCAAGGAGAAGGACTTAGGGGTGTTGGCTGTAAGCTCAACATGAGCTGGCAATGTGCACTCACAGCCCAGAAAGCCAACTGTATTCTGGGCTGCATTAAGAGAAGCATGGCCAGCAGGTCGAGGGAGGTGATTTTACCCCTCTACTCTGCTATCATGAGACCCCACCTGGAGTACTGCAACCAGTTTTGGAGTCCTCAGCACAGGAAGTGCTAGAGCTGGTGGAGTGAGTCCAGAGGAGGGCCACGAAGATGATCAGAGGGCCAGAGCATCTCTCCTCTGAAAGACAGGCTGAGAGAGTTGGGATTGTTCAGCCTGGAGATGAGAAGGCTCTGGGGCCTTATAGTGGCATTCTGGTACTTAACGGGCACCTACAGGAAAGTTGGAGAGGGACTTTTTACAAGGGCATGTAGTGATAGGATGAGGGGTAACGGCTTCAAACTGGAAGAGGGTAGATTTAGATTGGATATCAGGAAAACATTTTTCGCTATGACTGTGGTGAAACACTGGCACAGGTTGCTCAGAGAAGTTGTGGATGCCCCATCCCTGGAGGTGTTCCAGGCCAGGCTGGATGAGGCTTTGAGCAACCTGGTCTAGTGGGAGGTATCCTTGCCCATGGCAGGGGGGTTGGAACTAGATGATCTTTAAGGTCCCTTCCAACATAAGCCATTCTATGATTCATCTGATTCATCACATCCTCATTTAAGGTTTCTGCTTATGAAATTACATTCAAATCTTTATATATAATTAGCTATACTAAACCAAAAGAATAAGAATATGTGCAGGTTTTTAAAAAAGTTCCTGTTCCAAACATTAAGAAATAGATGTGCACCAGAAAAAAAACCCAAACAAACCAAAACTGATACATGCAAAGATGAAGAATTTACTTAAGTGATTCTCATGTGCCTTACTCATTCCTTCTCCATAACCCTAGCTTTTTATGCAGAAAACATAAGTTACGTAAAATAAATAGGATATTCATTCTGTATGTTGTGAGGAATAATAATAAATGACAAATTAATTTCAAAGTTCTGTTAAGTTTTTTTTTACTTGGATGCATGCCAGGAAATACAGTACTGCACTAAATAATTCACAAAGAAAACACTGTTCACAAGTGAAATTTCCAGACTCCGATCAGATTTTAGATCAATGTATGCCTTTACATACTGTGTGAAAATATAATACTGGAATGAAAGTGTCCCTTAGAATATTTAAATGTATACATTACTTAGGTAGTTCTCAGCTTTCTACTTTTAAAAAGTAGCAATAGTAAATCCTACAAAATCAGGAAGATAGAAGCCTTGTTTTTAAGACAGTTTGACAGTAATCGATCTCTATGACATAGGTATGATTCGGCACACCAAGCTTATGATCACCTCCAACAGTTCCTCAAAAGTTATGATAGTCCTATATCTTTCATTGAAATAATTCATTCAATAGTTCATACTGAAATAACTGCCTGCATCAGAGTATTATTAATTAATTCCATCTTAACATGAGAAGGAACTTCTTTACTTTGAGGGGAGTGGAGCACTGGAACAGGCTGCCCAGAGAGGTGGGAGGGTATCCCACTCTGGAGACATTCAAAACCCGCCTGGACGCTGTCCTGTGTAATGTGCTGTAGGTGACCCTGCTCTGGCAGGAGGGTTGGACTAGATGATCTCCAGAGGTCCCTTCCAACCCTAACAATTCTGTGAATTCTGTGAACTTAGTACTAATGATTATGCTTTCTAATTTCGCAAAGCAGGTAAGCCAAAGGGCCCCAAATAAGACTCAACATCCCATGAGGATATTCCCAGTAAATCTTCCTTGCTCTGTCTCACCATATGGCCCATAGTATTGTCAGTAATTTATTCCAAGTGCAGCAGAGTACTGGACTCTAGATGTCTTGAAGTAAACTTGATGTGCATAGGTCCTGGTCTCAGCTTTCAGTATTTAACCTCAGTGGGTCAAGTCCAGGCTAAAATTTTTGGTGTAACGTTTTTCTTTAGTGCATAAGATGCTGTCATCTAGCTGGTTTAACTTCCAAAATCACTATCAAACTCCTTAGTCACTCATCCACACAGTCGCAGATCTCTGTCTGAGCCATGATTTGTCTTGGTTGTTTCCCATAAACGGGATGATAGAAAAGCAAGGAATAGAGACTAATGGTTTGGATGCTTGTTAACAATAGCATGTGTTAGCATGTAACATGCCACAGCCCAGGACATATGCATGATAGCACAATTTGGTTTAATCCTCTTTCCGTGAGGGCTATGTGTGAAGTTATACATTGCAACTTGAGCAGATCTGACTGTTTATCACTGTGAAAACACACAGACCCGTTTCCCCATCACCACTTTTGTTCCAGTTCTGTGTGCTTCCTCCTGCCTTTGTCATAACTGGTGCTTTTCTGACCAGCAGGAGGAAGCAAGACAATTTGGGGAACAAAGGGGAGAGGATGAGGAAGATTTGGCTTTCAGTGGTGCAAGCTCTTAAAAACTGACTCAGACATGATGTGTAATTTCATCTCAAAATTAAAATAGCCTG